GCAGTAGCTCACTAACCACAAGTCCATGACTTCCCAGGACTTTCATGACCAGTGAGACCTCCACATACAAGGCATAATGAAAGAGCCTCGGCTGTCGAGCTGCGTCATTGCAGCGGTTGATGTTAAAACCAGGTCTGAAGTGGCGGAGGCCGGCAGCCGAGTTTAATCACCTCGTCCCTCATTAAAACGAGCCCACACTGACACCGATCCCTGCCTCCCCCTCCTCACATCGGAGCTGTGAGATCAGCACACACGCTGACACAGGTAGGCGGCTGTGCCACCCTCACCGTGCATTGCAATCATCTTCAATGGCCCCTCCCTCCTCCCTGACATTTACTTCTAAATACATTCTCGACTGCTCTGCCTTTAAAATTATGATGCAGAACTACAATTTACCATGGGTAGCAATTTAGGAGAGCCTTATGTAAAGGTTAATTTGTCACCCACTTAATCTTCCTTTTTAACAGGGAGCTGGTTGGTAAGAGAGCGGGACTGCCACCCTTTGGACAACTCAGGCAACTACAACAGACTTTTGCTCTTGCTTTAATTGACAAAGTGTCGCTGGAAACTTGGTTTAAAATGTTTTTCCTGCAGAGAATGATTCAGATGGAATCAAATTACAGCCCTGAACTCATTCTGTTATTGGACTGATAACTTTAACTGCAGTAACACTTATTTCAATCACCTCATGCAACACAATTAACAGTGAATTCAACAAAATGTAGTTTAGAACCATAAAAGGATGTTGATATTTCAAAGAAGTATTGACAGGATGTTAACTTCCAGGTATGTAAACTGAAACTGATAATGGACGGTCTGTATGTTCCTCTTTTGAAGTCAGAAGCATGATACCACAACTGAAAAAATACTTATATGACCATACTTTTACTTGTTTTTAATATTCTGATGATTCAATTATTTTTATTACTTTTTTACTCTCAAAAAAACCTGAGCAAACTCTGTCCCCTGACGACAGCCATGAGATCCAACAGAAATAAATTAATGGAATGAGTTTAAAACATGTGATTGTGAAGCTTCGGACCTTATAGTGCGGTCAAATAAATTAATTACGTGTATAAAGGGTGGGCAAAATTTAATATCTACATATCTACCATATACATATCTGTTTTACTATATTTAATTATTTTTTGTTACCTATTGCTTTGTATCACTTTTCTTGTAGAACTTGAATTAACAAACAGAATTAACTAATTAAAAAATGTATAAATGTGTAAAAACAGCAAATTCTCTCCCTCTCTCTCACACACACACCTGCTTACCCCCTTGACATCCAATAATAATGAGACAGTGCCATATAGCTGCAGATACCCAGGAGTCTCGTCTCAGGTGTGAGGGCTTCCCTGACACCGCGGTGCGGTGGCGGCGTAACATGACGGATGACTTCAATAGAAGCAGTCGTATTTGAATCCATGATAATTTGGTCAACTCGCCTGTCTGCATAATTTAATAACACAAAGAAAACCTGGTGTCTGTCTGCCAGACGCATGCTGGTGTGTGTGTGTGTGTGTGTGTGTGTGTGAGCTGGCATGAACGACTGGCTGTGTGAGATAAACACAACGTGAGCGGATTTTTCTCTTCTGCGCTTTAGATTCTCTTCTCACTGATCAGCCAAGTTTTTTATTAGAAAATCTAAATTGTCTTATCTTTATTTTAAATAAATAAAATATTTCTGAGACATTTTCACAAAACAGAAAGTTGTGTGATCTTGCATTTGTATGGGTGACCAGCTTTCCCCTCAGTTTTAAACCCATTTGCACTCAGAGAACAGATGTTACTTGAATTCTCCTGCAATGATGAATGTTGGTCTTTTTCTAAATCTCCTTCCAAGTGATCAGTAAAGTTTTATGACGCACTTTTGGGTATTGTTGATGGTACTTTTTTTCCCTAGGAGTGAGCCGCCTTAATGTAGCAGGAATAGCGGCGAATGTAAATGTTTTTTCTGCAGGCAGAAGATGAAATACACTGCAGCACAGCGCTCACGACCTGCACAGACGCTCTCATTTCCACCAACTGAAAGTGAGATATTAAAACAGATTACTCACTAGCGGGACCTGCCACTATTGGCCCACTTCCCATCTCCTGATAGTGGCTGCTGGCCGGTCAATGGGCGCAGTCTTGTGAACTGGATGTCTACTATTATCAGGTGATTTCTTTTTAACAGTGCACAACTACACCATTGTGTCCATGAGGGGAAGTGAAAACAGTAGGTTTCAGCCATACAGGAATTATCACATGGTAATTTCGGTTATGAAACACTGGAGAATTCTGCAAAAGCAAGATGTGAAACACTGTGAGCAATAAGCAGCAGACTATTACTACAGTGGCCTGTTTGAGTACAAACAGAAACAAGTGCACAACTAGAATGACTCTCATAGAGCACACCACTCCACCAACGCCCTACAGTCACCTTAAAATCAACCAAGCAGAAACACATTTCATGCAAATTATTCACTGGGAAAACTGTGACAATGTCTCACGGTGTTAAAGAAAGAGAAGATAAATTCCACGATACGCTCCCTGGACTCACACCAACATTTAACAGTTTCCTCCCTGACCCGTAACACATGCTTCCACCAAGTTTAGTGCTAATCTGTCCAGTAGTTTTTTTTTTGTAATCTCACTTGAAAACAAACAAACAGAAAGGGGTAAAAACAAAACCTCAGCAGCAGAGGCAATACGGAAATATCCTCTTGGTGACAATTTTCCCGGTGCTTCCGAGAAATGATTATATTACATTACTTTTTCTCTACAAAGATAACACTCATATCAGTTCAATTCCAGGTCAGCCTCAATAAACCACACGACCCAGAGCAAACTGAAGATAAGGAAAGAAGTGATGTACCGGCCATTAAAACCTACGCGCCCAGGTTTTACACCCCTTGTGTGTCTTCTGTATTTCACAGTCTGCGCAGCTGTGAGGAACCAGATGTCTCACTTTCAAATCTGTTTCTTATCATCATGATTCTTTAACAGAAATCTCTTACAGTTCCTCTCTACAGTAAGTCATATGACCAGAAGGTCACATGAAAACACACATAAGCTTTCACACATGCAGCACAGGTCTAGGCATGTGTGTTCACACACACAATCACACACACACATCTCACACACACCACTGAATATAGTGTTTTGAGTTCCCAATCTATTTTATTTGGTATGATTTATATGTGCCTTTTTACAAAATGTCTGCTGTTTATCTATTATTTTAACTATTTTGACGTTGCCAGGAGTTGTACATGTGTACACAGGCAACTGAGACTTGTAGTGTTTCTCGAAGAAGTTTCACCTCTGATCCAAAAGGCTTCTTCAGTTCGAACAGACTGAGGGAAGTTTTGAGTCGTCCTGTTAAACAGGCAGGTTGTTGAAACAGGTCATTCAGCAGTTAAATACTTTTAGCTAACGATTCCATTACTTATAGTTTATCTATTTATCCCATAGCTACCATCTCTGCTTGCTCGTCGTTGTTTTTTTTAAATAAAAAAACTGGTTTATACACCCTCTCCACACCCCCACTGGCACCTTGGGTAAAACTACCCCGGTTTCAGAATGACTGCTGCGTGTATCCACATGTGTCCCTGATGTGGCCAGATCCTACCGTTTCCAAAACTGTGTTTCAAGCTGAGAATCTGAAACACACACACACACACACACACTCACATCCATCATGTGAGGGACCTTTTGTGGCCTCTTTGTTGAGTCATGTGAGCGGGGGGCTAAGTATTGACTCTGACCCCGAGCCTTCAATCGTGACCCCTCCACATAAAGGTCACATTTTCTAGCTCGAGCTTTGTACAGTGGATCTAAACCTATGTAAAATGAAGTGGTGTATATGTGTGTGATTCTCAGGGGAAAGATAGAGCACTGCGGAGGTAAAGAAAATGTGTTAAAATGCGCTGTCTCTTATCACTGAGAGTGCATGTGGTAGGAGGACAGTGTGGCGGGGTAAATGATGGCAGTATTGATCTCCGATGCTCTTTTATAGCCCTGTCATGTCAGTTTAGCACCTTAGCAACACTCGCTTAAGAGCTACATCAATACTGAACTCTGGCACTCCGCAAAAGACAGATAGAAAAATAGACAGACAGATAGGGGGAGAGGGAGGACAAATAAATAGAAAGAAGTAAATACCAACCGCAGCATCAAGGACTCTGTGCTTTACGGCTCTAAACTTCAAAGTCAGAGTGAGGACACCAGAGTTATCCACGTGTCACTGATGAACTGCTCGCTGCAGGCTGACACTTGATTAAAGGAAGGCTTTGTAATGAATGTATCTGGACTGACTGTCAGAGGTGGAGGGATGTTTTGTGGCAGGTTCTTTTGTTTTTATTTTTGCTGTAACTCTGAATGGACAGTGACATTACTTGTACCCACATATACAAGTTAACTACAGTCTGACAAGGATCAGGCTCCGAATGTAGCGCAACTGTCAACAACTGAAAACTCAGAACAACTTTATTAAAATGTTTAAATACAAATATTATGCTAATATGGACAGTGTATATTGTTGTGTGTTGTTATTAGGAAGTGTTTGACTGTTTGTTTATTTTTTTGAAATATGGACAAATTACCATGAAACTACTTTCGGACCTGGTGTGGGTCAGGATTTGTTGTTTACTTGTACTAAGGTTTTTTTTTTAACGTTTTTTTTAAATATATATACAGCAGTTAATCATTTCTGCTGTAGGATGTGTTGGATAACATTCACTGGTAATAAAATCAGGCTCCAATTCTGTTTGGTGAGGCAGAAAACCAACCCTGTTTGCATTATCTGATAAGCACTAAGTGAAAACAAAACATGCTAACATCCATTTCTACCACACTGCACTTTTACTCTTATCAACCAAGGTTTAATTAACTTGTTTGGATCTGCAGGGATTTATGTTCAGTTGTGGGCCCTTTCAGTGCTTTGTTTGTTTGTTTGTGGTTGTGCGTGTGTGGTTGTGCGTGTGTGTGTGTGGTTGTGCGTGTGCGTTGCTCACCGATCACAGGAGCAGGCCACCAGCACACAGAGCAAGTTATAGATGATGAAGGTGAAGATGACGGCTGTGATCGTGCCACGGGGAATGGAATAACTGGGACTTTTCAGGTCACCTGAAGGACACACAGATCAACCTCCTTGTTCACAGACAGACAATCAGGTCACGTGCACGCATGCACACACAACTGGCCTCACGTACCTGACATGTTCGAACCAGCCATGATGCCGGTACAGCCATTAAACATCACAGCGAAAACCGTGGCAAAGGTCATCATAGTTTGTGTAGTATAATCCACTGTGTAGTCAGCTGTGGGAAGACAAAACAACAGTTTAGTCCCAGTACTTGAGCATTTGTCAACAGCATCAATCTACCAGCAGTAAGTTAATTTGGTTTTGTTCGCAAATACTTCTTTGAAGCTGCTCGCCTCCAAACAACTTGTTTTACAGCGTTTGAACTTTGAATTTGAAACGTGTGGTTTAATGGGATCTGGCGGTGAGGCCTCACTCTCACAGGAGAACCTAGAACTAGAACTAGAGCCAGTCCACAAGAGGAACTTTTTCCAAAGTACATATGAGGGGTTCATTTTAAGGTAACGAATTCTCACTCATAAAAACAAAAAATGTGTTTTCATTCATGTCACATGTTAAAGTGTAAATTTAAAAGTCTCTGTGTGTTTGCATTCTATCTGGTTGGATCTTGGGATAATCCAAAGCTCGCTGTGTGTAATAATTCTCACGTGTCCCGGGGGGGCAGGCCCAAGTTACAGTGTTTATAGCTTAGTAATCATGTGTTTGGATATGAGTCCTGCAAACTGAGTCGAGTGTTCGGTTAGTTTTACATGAACAGAAGATGAAACAGACGTTTACTACATCTAAGCTTTTTTTTTTTTATTCTGGTGGCACTGTTCATTCAAAGCAGAGTTACTAGTGGAGTGAAAAATAACACAAACATGATCCCTCACTGGCTTCCAGAAGTTTTAACTCATCTGTAAAAAAGCTTTTTTTTTTCCCCCACAGCTTCCATTTGGACAGAAAATAGCAGGTAATCACAGGTGTCACGTGAATCACGGCTGTAAACAGAGCAGAACCTTCTTTAATGTGATTAGTGACACACAAAAAGGCCGCTGTGAAAAATAAAAGCTCCATCACAGATCCTCTGCCAACCGTGCAGAAAATGATGATGAGTTTTCTGAAAAAACAGGAGCACATGGGTGGCAACCACAGAAATAACTCTCTGCCACCACAGAGCCTCTGGTTCCACTGTCAGTAGTGTCCATTTCAACTTCGTTAACAGACGGGAGCTATCGTGTCTGCGTCACATGTCACTGCACTACCAACTCCAGCAACATCCAATTTATTTCTCTGACAACAGAAGAAACTGTGGCTCTGAAAAGAACGATATGAGACTTTGTACAACACATTAAAGTTAATCGAGTCTTTCGGTACCTGTTTCATCTATACGTGGTTAATTCAAGTCTGCTAATGTTACAATCTTTTCCTAATTCATTCAACGGAAGTTTTTTTGGGGGAGATTAGGCCGATTACTGATTGAGGAACAATCAGCCCCACAGTTAGTTCTCTTTGATCTGAATCCCATGAGAAATTTAACTATGTTTTGAGTTTCAAAAGTAGCCGTTGCATGAGGAACTGAGATTTGATGAACTTCCGCCACGAGTTTTAAGAACCAGAGAAAAGACCCACAAGTGACTCAACTAGACATGTCGATAACAGCCAATATGCAAAGGACTTTCTACTGTGACCCATACTTTGCCCGATAGTCCAACTATTATTAGTATTATTATTATTATGTTGTGCTGACACTTATAACACAAGTTCCAACTAATGACCAGACAAGTTTAGAATATTCAAAGAAACCTAATTATGCTGAAAAACTGCAACCAAACCACAGTACAACACTCTGCTGTCAATTTAATCAACATAGAATTCAGTTAATTAAATCGTTTAACGCCATTAAATTGTTACTGGTGATCACCGCAATAAGTTTGACTGGCAATAGTCGTTATCTATAAAGCACAATACAATCTTTGGTATGAACTTATTTGTGACTGAAGTCCATTATTTGGACCAGCGTCCTCCACCTTACCCCACAGGTTCCCGAGCAGCGTGTCCAACTTAAACCCAGTGAAGTTGGCTGTAGTGGGAAACACAGGGCCCGTTCCGTTCGTCGGGTTGGACGTGGCCGAGCTGGGCAGCGTAACGGTGTGAGGCCCTACGGCAAAGAAGCTGATGAAGATGGTGCCCAGGACAAACATGACCACCAGGAAGATGATGAAGGTGGCCTTGGCATAGATGTGGGCTCCCACCAGGCACACCAGCAGACAAAGCAGGGCGACGCCTGTGGCATATAGCAGAGACCACCAGTAGCCCGACGGCAAGACCTGGTACGACGAAGTGGCCATAGTCCCGTCTAGGAGAGGAAAAGACGTCCAGTGGAATGTCATGAGGGAGAAGATGAGGGGAAAGGTTTGTAAATGCTTCAATCAAATGATATTTCACATACCATTATAACAGAATATTGAAAGACATAAGATGCTTTTCCCAGGAATAAATAATAAGTCCGTCAGTTCAACTCTCCTGCAACAGGACACATTCATTCCAATGTAACTTTTCCCTTAAAAACAGCCTGAGCTTTACACTCTTTTCTAGAGAATCTGCATTTACACCTTAAAATTAAATATACATTAAAAAACATGATTATGTTTTTTAATATATAAACATGAGCTGTTATTACAACAAGCAATGATGACACTTTCCAACCAAAACACTGAACTGGCAGCATTTCCCCAGATGTTAACAATCAAACTTACCTTCCGGCATCCCGAACGTGCCCAAAATGGCCTCGACCAGACCCAGCACGAACAGAGCGCTGCCGCACACATTAGCCAGGAAGAACATGATGCCGATGCTGCCACCAAACTCTGGACCCAACGCTCGGCTGATCATGTCTGAGTGAAGTTAAGCCAAAGTTCACTTGTTTGTTTTAGATACACGGTGAAAACAGATGTGAGTGTGTGATTTACTTTTATTTGAAGAGAGTCAAAACAAAGCATGATGATTCTAAGCATGATAGCATGTAAAGATATTGTGTAATTTTTGAACACCTTAATTCCTCTGCCTGTACAATAATCACAATATTATGACATAAAGCGAATGCAAACATAAGCTTTTAAATTATTGACAATGATCCGTGGTTAATTTATTACTTTTACTGCACACGATCATCTGCAGGAAGTCACGACAGCAAAAACCCAGAAGCTAAAACAACAATTTGCAGCAGTTTGACTCATGTGTGTTAATATCAGCTGGTAGATAATATCAGCCGAGTATTGGCATGTTTGTTTGCTTTTACGCACCAATATTATCTCACAATCTATCTCTGTGTTTTATTAACAGTTTATTTATAGTTTAAAATATTACGCCTCGATTACATTTCATTGTCTAAATGTATAGCAGATATATTGAATAAACAACACTAACTAGAGTC